CATTTCTTGAACACAGCTATCTCATAGTTGAGTTTCTGTTGCTCCTGAATAGCTTGCCAAATAATTTTCGCTGAATGGATCTAAATAGTATGAAAAGAAAATGCATGAAATGTATCTAAGATAAATAGACGCACTTCGGTTTGTCTTGGTTTTAATTGATAGAAGGCTTCAACTAATTGATGATCTTTTGCATCGAATTTGAGCATAGCTCTCCGTCTATCCAGTTCAATACGTAAATTAGATTGGTCTTGTTGTATAAAAGCAGTGATTATAGAAATGAGTTTATCGGAATCTATCGAAGTAGGTATTTGCTTTCTAGATTCATCCAGCTCATGAGTATTATGTTCGATTTGTTTTTGAAAATATTTTTGGCGCTGTTCAATCAGTGCTTTTCCTCGACCATACGTATAACACATTGAATTAACCTGTGCCATTTTTTTCGATACAAGTCCACTCCAAATGCCATCTGTCATACCAAGATCATAGTAATATGTCCATTGTTCATGTTGTAATTTTGAATAACTTAATTTATTGATGGATTGTGCCAATTGACGAACATAATGAAATATTGCTTCATTCTTACATAATTCAAGTAAATAGTCTCTATCAGCATCTGCTGTAATTACTGCTGACAATACTTGTGAAAAATCCTTATTGGACATTATTGAATAATCATGAAGGAATAGAATTGGATTAATATTGACTTCAATATATGAAGGATAATATTTCTTTTTCAATGAAGATTGCTGACCGATCAATAATGGTTTAATGCCATTGGTACTTGCCATGTGCTGCAGTTCAGACAGATCATTTAGTTCGTGTGATATTGCTTTCGTTGTTGAACAAGATTTATAGTATTTCTTGCGTAAATGTTGCTTTCGTCGAGCATGTCGACCATTCTTTGATTTCTTTTTCATCCTTTCTAGTGATTCTACTTGTTGAATTTTTTTCGGATGCATGACCAGTAAGGTATTTTCTTTTAATCTAAAATTCAAGAGAAAAAAAACAAAGTTGATTAACATATATTCACGGAATATTAGAAATGTAAACAATAGAGAAAAAAATCTATTTTGTTTTCTTCTAACTACTACAAAAAGAAAGAAAGGTTCTAGTGTTTGTATTAAGTATTTGTCGTGATTATGTTGTCGCTGGAGGTTCATTTGGTTTTTGTTCTAAATATCAAAAAACAAAAAAAAGAAAAGAAAAGAACATTCTATCAGATTTGGAAACAAACATCATTTGAATATTTACTTTTGTCAGGTGGTATTTCCTTGAGTAACGAGGAATTGGGACGTTTACGTGTCAGTTCAAATTCTATATTCGGATTATTTCGATGGCCAACAATTAATCGAATATCTCCACAATCAGTTTTCTTAAAGATGTCATCATGAATTTCATGTATATATCGTTTTAAACCTTCCAGTCTAGCTTCATGTGTACAATGGATAAAGATTTTGTTCTTGAATTTATTGTCTTTGTCTCTCGTAGTTCTTCTCTCTTCTTCAATATGTTGATCATGAAGTATTGTATTGACTGTCGCTGCACGTTTACTCACAATTATTTGTTGAATAGACGGTTGTGCAAGTAATTTTTCACGTATAATAAAAAATTGTTCTTCATTTTCAATCAATGGCAAAATCGAAGCTAATGAAGATGAAGACAAGTACCTTGTAAAGAATTCTTGAAATTGTATATTGATATATTTCGTTGGATAACTAAAATAAGAAACCGTCTTATATCTTGTATATATTTTTGTTTTTGAAAAAAAAGCGAAAACAAAGACTTTACCCATTCAATAATAAAGTTAATCGAATCCTACGTCGTTCTACATTGAATGCTTCAAATGTGGATGAATATCGTATCGCTCGCATTAGAGCCGTTTGAATGACATTTCGAAAAACATGTCGAGGATGATCCGATAAAAATGAAAGAACAGCTGGCTCAGCGGATGGCTTATGATAGACGGATGTTGAAAGAATACCATTATTATTAGTTAAGAGAAGATCCAGAAAAGAAACACTCTTTCCCATTGTATAGGTTAATTTAATGTTTGGATGAAATTGATTGGCTGCCTTGAGCCATTGTTTTATAGTTGTTTCCGTCTCGTTTGATGTGAAAAAGATATCATCAATATATCTATGAAAGAGATAAAAAAAAATACATTGATTTCTAGTATACGTAGAAAATTTCAATGAAACAAACCTGCCATAGAATTCATGAGACGGTAATTTTGACAGAATGGCTTGTCGTTCCCATTTCCACATGAACACATTGGCCAATGTCAACGTAAATGCTGATCCCATCGCACCACCAATAATTTGTCGATATATTTTTTTACCATAAACAAAATTATTTGTTTGAAGTACCAGACGAGCTAATTCGATAATTGTTTCAATAGACATACCATTGATTCTTTCACAATGATGTGTCTGTAGAAACTCAGCAAGAATAGCTAATGATCCTTCTTGTGGTAACATGGTATAAAGATTTGAAATGTCGAAAGTAATAAAGAGAGTCGTAGAATTAAAATAACCTTTCTCAATGTATTTCTGAAGTTGAACAAGAAGATCAACACCATCAAGAATAGTTGTTGAACGAGCAAATCGATCGAATAAGGGTCGAATTGATTGATCCAAATATTTCGATATGGCTGTTGTTGCTGCATGTATCGTATTAATGATAGGTCGAAGTGGTGTTCCTTTCTAAAATAAAGAATATTTATATATAGAGAGCAAAGGGAAACAGAGATGAAAGAATGAATAATCATCATTACTTTATGTGCTTTCGGAAGAAAATACATATAAGATAATTCGATTTTATTTTGAATTGGCATCATTTTCATTTGTTGATATACTTTAATTTTATTGTCTGAACGTAATTGATTTAATAATTGAACGACTTGGCGAAAAATATCCTTGAGTGGATTATCAGTTATTTCTTGATAAGCCCCTGTTTTTTCTCGATATTCAATTGCTTTTCGTTCATAATCACTAGCACGACCAATATGAAATACACCACTTTTATCTGTTTCGCGTAGGATAAGTTTATTTCTCTTTAATTTTTGCAATATAGATTTGATTAATTTTAATTCTTGTCGGGCACGTAAATGATCGATGAAAGGTAATGGAGTCATATAACGTGAGAGAAGATATGTTCGAAGTCGTTCTGCATAGGTTTTAAATACCAATGCTTTGTAAGCTATTTTTGGTTGTCCATCATGACTAGCACTCATATACTTCTTAAGTTTATCCATAATATTATTTAGTTCTTTATCAACCTGCGTTTCACGTTGATCAGATCGACGAAGTGCACTTTGATTTGATCTTATATAGGATGGACCTATTGAAATAAAAACAAAAGAAAAAGAACAGTTAACGAGAATAATTACTCGAGATAAAATACACAAAGAAATTATGATCACCTCTGGAAAGAAAAGCTAATTCAGCTCTAGTAAATGGATGACGAATAAGATCCATAATAATTCTGGGAGAAATTGACACCAATTTTTTCTTGTTCAATCTCCACTGTCGACGAAGGCGTATTAATTTTCTTCGATAAATTGGAATTGTTTGATAATAAATCTCTTGTTTCAATCGATGTATCCAATGGTTGATATAAAGAAGAAAAGATTGAAATCGAGTTGTTTCAGTGCTTTGACTAGGATGATTTGAGCATTGTAATTCAAATGATTTCAAAGTTTCCTGATATTGATGAACATATTCTTCATATTTTGTCTCGTATCCATGAATATAAATAGTTAACCATGTACGTTTTGCTTCTTGAATAATTTTATATTTTTGTTGTTTGAGTTCTAGAGCTAGAGAATCTCGAATCATTGGTGAATAGAGATTGGGCGCAATAAAATATTCTAAATGTTCGAAATTTTTAGGTAAAACTTCAACTGTCACTTGTGTTTCCAACTTTAGAAAATTTTCGAACACTTCTAGTTGTTTTTCTTGTAGTGCTAACAATTGATCAATAGAATTTTTCTAAGAAAAAAAGAAATATCGAGACGTTCAAAGAAAATTCTCAAGAATAAACTTACTTGATCTATATTAAGAGGAGGATTACATAAGGTAAGCCATAGTTCATTTTCATGAATTACATCTTTATATCTGGTTAATCGTGAATTAATTTTAGTTGTGAAATATTTTTGTTCTAGTTGGACAAATTCTTTCAGATCATCATCGATTTTTTCCAATGGTAAGAATTTTGCTGGACATGAGTGAGATTGTGCTGTTAATTCAGTCGTACATTGATCATATTGTTGATTAAGTTCTGCCAAACGATTTTCAACAAATTGTTGACAGAGTTGGGATTGTCTTGTTTTCGCCCTCTTATATATTTCATCCTAAAAATTTAGAATAAGAAACAGAGTGGTTCGTCCGATCGTCTTCTTTCATTTTGTGTGTCTATAGAAAATTGTTTTGTAGAAAAACTTACTGGCCATATCTGGGATTGACATCCTAGCACTAAATATGATTGCCATAAATTCCGATGGACATCAAGTCGAATGTGTTGATCGAAGAATACAAGTCGCTGATATATGTATCGCTGTTGTCTGTTTGTATTAAATTTTTGTTTCAATTTTAAGTGTAGACTTTTAAAAAGAAGTTTTGGTGATTTTGTTAAATATTTTGGTAATCGATAGTTTGATTTCAATTTAGTCAAGTCGATTTGCAGATTTTTACTTTTCATCTTCTTGGATAATCGGTCTGAAATGGATCGAGAACTTTCGGAAGTAACCATTCTTTTGCGTTTATTTGATTTCTTAGCTCTTCTGCTTTTCTTTTCTTGGGCAGTGGTTATCGTAGTGGCATCAAGTTGATTGGTAGCTGGCACCAAATTTGGAATTCCATTTTTGCGTTGTTTATATTGATCCATTAATTTCTGTATGTCTTCTCCATTCAATCCACGTCGAATACATTTCTTTTTAAAATGTCGTAATTTGTGATTACCATGACATCGTTTTATTCGTTTTTTCTTCTTCTTAGATGTTTGTTGTTGCACTGACACTTCCATTGGGGTAGTGGTCGGTGTCAATGGTCGGGGTTCCCATAATGCTCGTGATGCAGTGACACCTTGTGGTGCTGGTTGATTCTTCTTCGATTGACTATTCATTGATACAGAATTTGATTCAATCTAAAAATCGAAAACAGACTCCATGAAATTTAGATGACTAAGGAACAGTAATGAATGTGAGTCGAGAGGAGAACAGGATCTTGAAGGTGTTTATTCATATATAGAATAGGTTGTGTTAATTTGATTAGTGTAAGTAGTTGGTACAATAGATGCATAAGAAAAGAAATGCAACAATAAAAAAAAAGAAGGAAAGAAATTTTATTGAACATGAGATTACAAATGAAGGAGTTTTCTTTTTAAATTGTACATATATTCAATGTAGGTACTAATATGCGCGAAACGTTCATATATGAGATTCCATATTGCTTCAGTCAGTTGCGAATTTAATGGAAGTATTCGTTGATTATCTTGTATCTCTTTCAGAACACTATCGTACTCTTCTTTGCATTTTTGTTTATGCCTTTCCGCACATTCCATATACAACGTCATCATATTGTTTCTTGCCTCTTCTGCGACACATTTGTATTGTTTCTCTAGCTGTTGTTTCACATGTGAATCCTGTATACTGCTTAGCAATGGTACTTTTGCAATGGATTCTTGATTGAATGGATGAGCGCTGAGATGTAAAGATATTTTTTCTTTCAATAAATTCACTTCATGGATTGTTATTTCTTGATCATACTTCAATTTGCATAAACGTTTCATGACTTTCATCTATAAAAAAAAGATGCCAATAGAAAATGAGTAGAAAAGTGAATGAATGGAAGCATTTTACCTGATTCTGATTAGAATTATAAGTAAGATAAATCTCTTTAAAGATTTTATTCGTATAATCGTATTGTACAAGTGCTTTCTGTTGTTCAATGTTGATTCGTAATGATTCAAGTCCTTGTCGAACAAACTTTTCAATGTTATACTCCAAACCACGGTTATAACCAATTAAACGGCTTGTTTTTACATTTAATTCACGGCGATATTCTTCACTTTTTAAATTCATTTCACGCAAACATTCATCTACGATTGGTAAACAAGCGATATCTTTAATCGTGGTAACATCACCTTTACATTGTTTTGCTATTAATTTAACCTGTTTTGCCCACATCTTCATGTTTGTTTGTTTTGCTGGTCGTAGTGTAGATTCAAGTTCTCCTACACCTGCTTTTCGATATAGCAACCATAATGATTCGACAATTTCAATCGATATAATCTTATGCATCAGAGTAGCAATGGTTTTTAATGATTCCGAGTCTATTGTTGATGGTACACTAGTTCGAAGTTTTGTTTCCAATGATACATTTTTTTGAGACAGATAATCCGGTGTGGACTGAAAATCTATCCCAGCGGTTTTCATAAAAATAAATTCGATGGAAGTCGTCGTTTCTTTCGTTTGATTGGGGTTCCTTTTTGTCGATTCATTTTTAAATGGAGATAATTCATTAATTTTTTGTGACAGGGCTTGTTCATTGACTATCTAAAAAAAAAAGGGAGATTTGTTCGTACGAACCAAGAGAACAACTTTCTGTATTGCAATTAACTCACTTTTGGATTTGGTATCATGATAGAATCGGTGATATTGGTTGAGAAAGTATAGATTGAACTCGTTCCAATGAAACCAAACTTGTAGTTGTAAACGAAAATATCTAGAACAAAGAATAAGATCATTATGATAAGAAATCTACGACTTCCAGTTAACACAAATAAAAAAAAGGAACAGTAAAGAATTTTCAAAAGTACATATTAAATAGACATTGAAAAGTGAAATATCAATTGCACACTCCACCATGATTGTAAAATGTAGAAAATCGATCGATTAGTAGTATTGAGAAGCAGTATGGATAATTAGTGTGATGAGGTAAAATATGAGAATAGTTTGCATTGAAAGAAGAAAATGTTCCTAACAGAAGACACTTAGAAAGAGAAGCAAAAGAAGACAATAAATGAGATGTATGAAGTCTTTTCCGATTTGCAAAGACAGACATAATGATGTAAAAGTCAACTGCTCAGTCAAGTGATATTGAAGTACCGACTAAGTCATAAAGCAATACAGATAAAACTCATCGATTTTGTCAATCATTTCAATATAAAGAAATCAAATCAAATCAAAAAAAGAAAACACGAGCAATCCCATCAAAAAGTAACACAGAGAAAGAAATACATTTAGAATGAAAACAAAAAGTCTTGAAACGAACAAGGAAGATTGTGTTTCAACGAAAAACTACAATTCAAATTTAGTAAACTATGGAAGAAAAACAATAGAACATGCTAACTCTATACTGAACCTATGCATTTATCACATAGGATTCAATAGGGAGCCATTTTTGAAAGCATTGTTTAACAAGTAAAAGGGACTAAAACGAGTGGTTTGATAGAAAAAAAAAACAATGAAAGTAGAAGAACTAATTAGAAAAAGATGATCCGATTGAGTCACTTCTAATCTTCCGTAAGTAGAGGATGCGATGGTTTGTATTGACTGAGCAGGGCATTTAATGTATGTGGATTTTTTGTTGAGAAAATTAATTGTAAATCCCTATAGTTTGACAATGGATCTTTTACATTTAGATTTCTTGAAAAAATTTCCCGTAATTCTTCATTAAATTGACGTTTAGGACCGAAATCATGTAGGTAAGATATTCGGAATCGTTTGTTTGCCTTCGCTAAATCTTGGTATTTTTTATGCATACGTTTTTGTTCACTAACAAAATTAAGTAGTCGATGACGAAGTTTGTTGTAAACCTGTTGATCTAAATCCGAACGTAGTGACAGGGCATCAAAATGTGAAAAAAATTGTTCGACTCGTTTCTCAACAAATTCCATTGTATAACCATTTGCTAAACAGCTTACTTCCAGATAGATTCGTTCTTGATTAAAATCATATACCGACGAACAAAACCGAACAGCTCGAATTAAAGCTGCTCGAAGCCAACGACTGTGTGCTTCTTTCGTACTACCAATCACGTAAGGTACAGTATATTTTTGTCTCATTGAATCATGATGGACACGACTGTAAAGAGTACCATTTTGATTTTCCATGTAGACTTGTAGAAATTGAGCACTGGAACCTATTTTCATATCCAAATTTATATTGATGTCGTCAACATTGGATGCTTTAATCATACGAATAAGGTTTTCATTTGTATTGTTCCATGTAAAAAAGACTTGATTTTTATATCTTGAAAGCAATCATTATGAAATAGAAGAACATTTTAATAAAAGAAAATATACGATAGAATCAAATGCTCTTACCTGCCATAAAATTCTTTTTCTAATAAAGTTTGTCGAAATAATGATTTGAACCATGATAGTACATAAAGAGTAGCTAAAGTTTCGGTTAATGGAAAACTTGCTGGACTACCTTTAACGAAACGATAGATCTTTTGATCATAGTAAAATCGATTATTGCGGAGAAATAGAGTGGTGAGTTCGTAAATTTTACTAATCGATATCTGTTTTATAGTTGGCAACTTGCAGGGACCTTTTAAAAAATTTTGGAATGTGATAAGCATGGTGTCATGATCAACCATAGAATAAAAATTGGAAATAGTAATGGTGACAAAATTTGTTTTTGGGCGAAAGTTACAAGCCGGTGTTTCTAGATAATCGTTTAACTTTCGAATAAAGTCAGAGCCATTTGTAAAAGTAAACATATTGCTTTCATTGTTGACACCATCTCGTAACAGGTCATCCAGAAAATGAGCAATTCGGACAGTTTCGCTATGTTGTGCCGCAATGATCGGTTGTACAGTCATATTGTTCTCCTAAAGAAATTCGACAAATAAACAATTCGATTATGATGGCATTTCTAACAAAACAAAAAAAGCAAGTAGAACTTACTCGTGTTACATCTGGTAAGAAGTAAAGATAAGGTAATTGAACTTTGTCAATAGTGATTGATAATTTTTTCAAAATCTCTTTGTCCTTTACATGAGGGAAAATAGATCTTAATTTTTCATTCATCAAATTAATTTTCGTTGTCAAATAATGATGTGTTGCTTGCAGATTGTTTTGATCAATGTTTTCACATTCAATGAATACGTCGGTTTTTGTCATATACTCTTTGGTTTTTTCTTCAAATGTAGGTCGATGTAGAAGGCAAAAAACATTCTGTTGATCTGTGGTTCTTCTTAAAATTAAATCATACTTTTCTAATTGTTTTCGAATTGATTCGATCAATTGTTTTTCATAGAGGGCCCGTTGACGTAATGCTGTTGGTAGTGTAATAGAGTATAGATTGGTGAAGAGATTTTTAATTTCTTTCCTAATAAACATACATTGAACCATATTGAATCCACATCTAGTAAACATAATATTTAAGTCATGTTGTATTGATTTGTTTTGTTCTTCAGTGACTTTTTCTATGGTTGTACTGCCAGACGAAACATAGATTTGACAAGGTGGAAGATAACTGGGTCCACGGTTTAACAATTCTAATTGTTCTTTCGTGAATAGATGTAATGGAGTGGACTGTATCATAGACGGTGAGAAACACACACTGGGTATAGCAAACTCTACGGGAACATCGTTATAATCATGTTGTAGAAAAAAATTGATCTTAAAAGTCGAAGCATATTCAAACTTTTTGTTAATGATATCCACACGTCGATGAATCAGATCGACTAATTCAGTTGAAAATTTTTCATTTTTATCTTCATTCGGCGTGGACATACGCGTCATTTCTTTGTTAAATGCATTTCGACGGTCAATCATCTTCGTTTCTGCTTTACCAATTGCTTCAGCAATGAGATTAGTCATGTGTTGTTGTAAATCTTTTTCTTTTCCATCCATGAATAGTTGATGGCGAGTAGCATCGCTGGTTGAGTCTGCTGTCGATGAAGGTGCGAGGAGTAATGCTTTCTTATAAATAAGTGTTGTCGGTTTATTATAAACAATTCGTTGTTTTAAATAATTCAATTCTTGCTTTGCTTTTGTATACGCCGTCGCAGAATCGTAGATATGTTTTGCAATTCTTATCTAAATATTGGTAAAAAAAAAATAAAAATAAGAAAACAAAAGCGAAAGGTCTCTAAGTAAGTTTATACAAAAGATAATCTATTGTCTTACTTGATTTGCAGTGGGTTTCTGTTGTAAGTATTCATGTTCCAGTAATTGAGCACCATAATTGTATTCCAAAATACGTATTTTATAGTTTAGTTTCATGCGAAAAGGTGTGATGCTATACTGATGAACAAATCTTTCAAGTGTCTGTTGTATTTCATCTGTAAAACCTAATAGACTCGTTTTCTTCTCGTGATACTCCATGGAATAACATTCTATTTTCTCATAGAATTCTTCGATATGTTGCTGAACTATTCTTTCATACTCTCGATCCATACCATGACTTTGATTGATATCACTGACGTTGGGCATTGTCGTACATAATTTTTTCACGGCAGCAGGCCATAGACGTCGGTCAACATTAGTTTGCTTACTTTCGGATGTTATCCATTCACCTTTACCAACTTTCAAATAGATTGTCCAGAGTTGTTTATCGAGTTCAATTTGAATAATTCTATGTTTTAATATAGCCAATTCTCGTAAGTCATCGAGAAACAACTCGTCTATGCTGTTTCCCAAATCATCTTTCATTTGAATATCGAACATTTCATTTATTCTTTCGAAATACTTTGAGACCTGTTCGGCTTCTTGATTTGCCTCTGCTTTACTATTCCATTCACGCATTTTTTTTGTTGCCACATCAGGTGTTGATGTTGTACTCAGGGGTCGTTTATGATGGTCTACGGAAAGGCATTCATGAAAAAGTTGTTGATTCGCATCATCGCTTGATAATTGACTTAGTTTTTGCGAAAGAACTTCTGATTGAACAATCTAATTCATACAAAAAAAAAACAATACATGATTTGTCTCATATCTATCTTTTAACAAAAATCGTTTACTATTTACCTTTTCCTTTGGATCAATGGTGGTGAATTTGTATTTCTCGGTGAAAAGTCGTTGCTGTTCATCGACGATCATATGTAGAGGATCAAAATCAAAATCTTCATAGTACTCTTCCATGATACTTTCCAGTTTCTCTTCGGTCTCGTCATCGACGAGATCAAATACATCATGTATCCATCTGAATGCGTTGCACTGAAACAAAACAGAGATAGAGAGAGAGAGAAAGTTAAAGTGAAGCTGCAAACAACAAAAGGAACTTACATTCTTTTCGTTATCTGAATGAAAATCGGCGATTGCTGTTGTAGGATCAGGAGACTGGGACATCGTGCAATGAAAATTGAAAATTGAATTGATTTGGCGTATGCTTTCAGTATAATCTACAACATAGTAAAAGACAGAACATGAGAAAGATGGCCTCATATACATAAATTCTACTCCTTAGCCCGTCTAGAACAAAGAAATAGGGAAAATTGTCGACGTCCAAGGTAATGCTCAGATTTTATTGTTGTTTTATTTTATTAGTCTTTTGATCGAAAGTTTTTCGTGTTCGTATTTAATTAGTTTTACACAAAAAAAAACATACGAAAGCAAAGATGATCCTACTCCCAGATGAAGTTGCATCAAAAATTAAAAAAAAAAGAAAGCACAAAAAACTTAGTCTTGATTGTTGTTTAGCATGTACTGGTTGATAATGAATTTTGTACTAAACGTGGATGAATTAAATCTTTACACCAAATCTCATCATCAGCGTCACTTGATATTGATACTGTATCATCTACCCCCGTGGTGATATTTAATTTTGGTTCAGCATAAACAATTAATAATGCTTGTACGACATGACGGACCGCATTGGAGGCATTTTCAGGAACTATAAGGTACAAAGAAAAAGGTGTAAAAAGAGAAAAGTGTCCACTGGATATAATTAATCTAGAGACCAAAACTCAATAAAAAGAAGCAAGAAAAATGACTTACGAGCAATGACAATTGCTGCATTGTAGAGACTGAGAAATCGTGAAACGAAACATTCTTTTTTCTCACGAAAAAATTCATATTGTTCAATTTTTTGTCGTAATGAGTATTGATAGTTAGGTGGTGGTGGAGCCAAATATTTAATACACCACCGTACTAGGTTCATGTCACGTTGATATGCATTTGTTTCAGTTGGAAGTGTGGATGAATGTTCATATTCTGCTAATTGATTTCTGTCAGCCATAGTCAAAGTAGCATCGTCGATGGCAACTTGTTCCTTTGTCATAGGTACAAAACACCAAAAATCAGGATGAGTTTCCAGAAATATTTTCAAAGCAGCCAAACAATATGTTGAATGTTCATATAGCCTATTTTGGTCCTCAGGAAATGTCCTTAAAGCAAAAAGAAGAGTTCAAAAGAATAAAAATTTGCATTACTACTAAATATAAATCTATAGAAATACGAGTGTCACATACGGATCTGGAGTTCGATCAGCTTTCAGACGATCAGCAACAATTTGACCGAGAAAAGAATTTGCTACTAGGCGAGTTCCACAGATTCGATGATCTAAATGAAGTCATACAAATCCCGAGTCACAATAATTGAATTTCTTTCTGTATTATCATTTACCTCTCATGCGATCACGAAAAGGTACTACACATCGACCAATATAATCAAAACGACGACAAGGGCAAGTCAATGCATAGATGATGTTGGATGTTGTACAGGTCTAGATAAAGAACGATTCATTGATATATTCGTATTTTCTATCTCAAAGTCGAGGAAACGAATTGACTTTCATCACTTGAACTTACCACATTACAATTTAAATACACTTCGTACTTGTTTAAAAATCGATGAACTTGAGTGTTGGAAAAATTGATGGTCGGTTCGAATCGATGAGTTAAATCGCGTCGTTCATAGCAAAAGCGGCAACTCCCATCGCGACACATTTTCATACCATACTGTGCTTGTGGTGGTCTCGTAGAGAATATACCATTATAGGCGATCGGTGGTGTAGCATCACGAAATGAACATGTCTTCATATAGAAACAGCTACCTAAAATTATTTATTAATGCATATATTTTTCCTAATTGTTTTTATTTATTTTTTGATCATTTCCTCTCAGTCTCAATTATTCTGATACGAACCATCCATTTGTAAATAGAATTCTAACATGAGAAACCATTCTTCTAAGGAAAAATCATACGATTTTCTTAAAATTTGTTGTTGTTTGGTGAAATATTCTTCTAATGTGAATTGAGCCGGCAATTGATATAAACGATTTAAATTAATCACTAAAATTGTGTCATGGATATTCCATTTACGACCATACAATCGCAATGCTTCTTTCACCTCGAATTCAATTTTTTTATTTAAATAAGGTATACTTATCGCATAATTCTGCTCGAATCGATTCACTTTTCGAAGTTGGCGTTCCATGGCCGTTAAATTGTTCACTGTTTTTTGTTTTGATATAAGCAAAAGAAAAGGAAAACAATAAGGAAAATAAAGAAAACAAGAGTTTCACATCGTTATCAATACTCACGAGGAACATTAGCTAAAAGTGGATAAAATTCGCCTGAATCGTTCACTATAGGAGTAATCGGTTGAAAAGCACGTTGCAGCTTGGTCAAATTTCTTGATGGATGTATTTGACATAATTCAGAACCTTTAAAATTTAATGGAATTGGAAGCCATAATTCTGGCTGTTGTTTGGACGTCGAATCGCAGTTCATTATTGTACCAGTTGATTTTTGTTCTGATGTGTCAACAGTAGTTACTTTGGACGATTGGTTCTGTGCCATTATTGAAACGAAACTTATTGCTACGTGTAGACGATTGTGAATTCTGAGTCCTTGATAAATGTTGATTCAAATTTAATCGTTTTTAGTCGAATTATAAATGGAAAGATCTACAACAAAAACAAAAAACAGTTGAAACATTAATTACTGTAGGGTGATTGGAATTCCTGAAGCAGAACACAAAGAAAAGAAGAAATTAAATATTTGTCTCCTTTCTTTTTTTCCCCGATTTTTTATTCGTCATTATCCACGATATGTGGTAGAACTTTGATGTTTAAGTAGGCCCATCGGCTGTTGCCAGATGAATATTGGCTTGCATAGACTTGTTTTCCAAATCATTGTTGAAGTAATTCGACACTAGAATCAATTGTTGTATTAAAATCATTGGCGAGTCGCCAATTTGGAAAGAAAAAGACAATTTGGGGTCCATGTTCCACATTGTCATAGCTTGAGTAACAAGTATAGGTGTTGTTTTGATTAAATAGGTCTTGTTACTGCCAATATCTGTCTTTGGAAAATTGAATCTTCTTGTTCGCCGAAGAATTTGTCCTGTTCCAGCTGAGGGTAGACGATTTCGAGAGATGTGGATGAAATCAGGTGTATTTTGTTTTGCGAATTATTTGTGAACGAAGATACCATAGTAAACATGAAGACTACAATAATCGACAGTAGAATCATTTTTATATCCATCTACAAAAGAAATGATACATGAAAGTAAAGAAAAAAGTGAAATATAAGATGATTAAAAGTATATCCTCGAGTAAATGAAGCCTCCTAGATATATATTTAGTTTTCTATCAGACAATGTCTCAAGTAGTGAGTAAGAATGTTAGTCTGTATTATAATCATTTACAAGCATTACACAAATTTCATTGAAAGAGAACACACAACGAAGACTATGTCAGTTTTTTTTTTGTATACAAGTATTGCTTTGTTTTCTACTTCTGTTTCTCTTTTTTGTTTTACATTATATTGCCAATGACTGAAGCCTCTTTAATGTTGTCTCGGGTTTTTTCAAAACAATAAGGTTGTATTTGTTACGACAGATTTTATAAATGTTTAAGCTCAGCATTAGACCACATATGATTAATAATAACAGTAAGGCTAATAATATCAGGAGATCTGCCATATTCACATCGAACGCCGTAGCTATATTTTTCAGTGTGGTAATTGGTTTATTGTAAACTGTCATTTTTGACGGTATCACATTTAAATAAGTATAATTATTAGACAGCTTATTGAAAACTTGTTTCATATAACCAAGTGTTAAGGTGTCTTGTGCCGTGATGGAAGTCGTCCTATTAATACCACTAGGTACTTCAAATTTTGTATAATTCATTGCACCATATGATAATTTAATCACAATTTCTTCTGATGGTTCCATGATCAATAATAATCTAAAACAAAACGTGTCAATGTAGTTTACGTAGTCTACGGAGAGATGTATCAAAAAAAGTAAAGGTGCATTAAAACTATAGACAAGATCCTTTCGCTAGCGTGGAAGTGATCATCATAGAATGATCTTGTCATTGGGTGTTTTCTTCAAGAAAAGACAAACTCAAAATCATTCAACACAAGGTTAGCTCAAAGTCTGCTGTTTTCAATCTTTTTCTGCTTTGAACCCAATGAATATGATCTTTAACATCACGTTTAAAAGTCGCTTTTTTTGTTTGGTCGAAACCTTTCTGATTTCAATGACACTCTATTCAAAAGTATCTAGGCATGCAGTTATATCGCTACGCTGGATGGTACTATTCATCTTCGTGATTGAGTATACCATTAAAAACATCCCCGAATAACATACCGTCTATCTATTGGAATATTCTAGTGTTTTGCTTTTGCCGATGGATTACAAAGCGAGTTCAAATTAATCTGAAAGGAAAAAGAAAAGAAAAAAATACATATAAATATTATTCGCAGCATCAAACTAGTTCCTATGAGTAAGTCATCGAACACAAAAGAAACATCATTTATATGAAGTATCACGAAAAATCTCTCTACATACGTTCTACTACCAGCTATAACCCGAATAAATACATATACTATAAATTCAAATTTGGAAGGGAAAAAAAAAGAAGCTATTTAATGTTATGTCTGTAAACGAACCAATTCGATCTTCAAATTGTATATAGTTTCGATATATGTTCTGATATTAAGAAATCGTTTCTTCATGATATCCCACATAACCGCAGTCAATTGTTGATGAAATGGAAGTATCTGTTCAAGATTATACATTTCTTGCAATGCCATCATATAATGTAGTTCATAGTAATCTTTACGTTTTTGAAAATGTTTCTTGGATATGATCAGTAGGTGTCTTCTAGTTCGTTGACAAACGTCTTTGTATAGTTTATAGAATTGTCCTCGCCTTTCCTTATCATCAGTATGAGGAATGAACATTAATTTTCTCATGGTTCCCTTTTGTATAGTAGATGACTGATCACATAGAAAAAGTTTTTCCTGTAATAATTTGACTTTATGTTTTGTTATTTCCTGTTTGTATGCGAGTTTACATAATTGTTTCATTAAATTTATCTACAAAAAAAAATGAAATGAATGGAAACGATGAACATCAATACATATCATAGGAAAAAATCACTTTACTTGATATTTAGTAGGATTTTGAGCACGATAAGCATGTCGAAAGATTTGATCGGTAAAATGATATTGAACTAGTACAATTCTTTTACTGATTTCCTTGGAGAAGGGTAGAATCTTCGATTCAATATACTTTTCTATAGTATACCCAATGTTCCATGTATAATTAATTAATTGATCCATTTTCAAATTTAATTCGTGTCGGTATTTTTCATTGGCAGTATGTAATAGAACCAAACAAAGATTGAGAAATGTTTCATAAGCAAGTTCTTTATCAATACTTTGAATTTTGTATTGCTTTACCAATCGATGAATTTCTTCTGGCCAGTATTTTCTCTTTGGGATAGCTACGTTCACTGAACATGGAAGTCGACCCATACCTGACTGTTCATAAACAAACCAAAGAGATTGCAGGATATTGATGTACTTAATTTTATAGATTAAAAAAGCAATATCTCTTAATTCTATTATATCCAGACTTGATGGTAATATGGATTGAATATATTCTTCAAATGATTGATTTGATGAACTGAAAAGAAAATCAGGCGGAGTTCGGAAATCAATATCCATCATTTTTGAAAGATGAATTGCTAATGCAGAATTTTCAGTTGATAATTTGATCTCTTGAACACGTGATTGTTTCTTTCCATCATATTTTTGAGAAGAAGATAAATGATCAAATGTCTGTAATAAGACTTCGTCTTCAATCAATGTCTACAAAAGGAAAGAAAAAACAAAATAGAGTAAGTCTACTGAGAATAAAAAAAAAAGGTTTCGTAGAATTTGTGGATGTTACTTTCTCTTGCGAAGACATACGCGCAGGATTGGTTCTCTTTTCTGAAATGATCTGTATGATATTCTCCAAGATTTGAAAATAAAACAACGAAGATATAGTAATACCAGCACCGTTCTGGACAAATACGAATAAATATATCTAGAAGAATACTAAAAGAAAAATAGTCAAATAAATGATGGGGAAAGGGTGCCAAAAAGCCAAAAGAAGAGAGATCTTTATGGGAAAATGTGAAGAGCAAAAACAAACTATGGCTTTATACAGTGGCACTCCATAGGATAGAGACAAAAAAAAATATCGAAGAAGAACAGAGAAGAGTGAAGAGAAAAACACACAAAAGTAATTAGTATGATTTCTATATGAAATATGATAATAATAAGCAAGCACATATTCAACCAAGAGAGAAAACGAACAGAAAGGTCATTGTTCATTGAAACGTGTTCCAAAGACATAAGCGACTAACTAGACGACAATGGAAACCTATTCCTTCTCGAAAGCTTTTGATCATATGGTTTCTATCGTACATGTAGATGAAGTAGAGAAGAGAGAATGATGGAAAAAAAAACGGAAAAGAACAGTCGGAAACTTCTAATTTTTCTCACTGATTTGAATTTCTCTTAAGGCTTGAATATACGAAGTTTTGTTTTTCTTTATTTCATTGATATCAACGTACAATGAGTCGAGCTCGTATTGTTGTTCGGCTGTTGGTGTTGACATTCCATCGTAACTAATGACATAGCTATCTTCGTTTGGAAGCTTCTCTGTCCGGTTTATCGGATGTTGTGTTTTCGAGAACAGTATCAGACCGTTCAATAGTATCGATATTGATAGGAATATACCCAGAAGAAGGACCACAAAAGATGACTGGAAACTGGTACATTTCGCTGCGGTTACTATCATCATTGGTGTTGGTGTTGGTGTTGATGTTAATAATGGGACAACCACACTGTTACCATTATTCAGGCAATCGAAGTAAATTCTTATTGTGTTAATTGTCACTATATCGTTTATCCCCAAAAAATAATACGGTGTTGTGTTGGAAGGAGGTGGATGTCCTATATATGTTGTATTTGTAGAATTATAGAATATGATCAGTACACTACTCATAAGTACTGTTGTCATTTTCGAAAATATTAATCTAAAATTTAGAGAAACGAATGATGAAATCAAATAATAAACTTTCTGGAATAATCCCAAATAAATATGATTGATTGAATGTGTTTTAGTAAGTAATAGAATGCCGGCAAAAAGACGTTGACAGAAAAAAAACAAAAAACAGATTTCTATAATCATAACTTATGAGAACATCAACAGCCAACTGAATCGTGTGATAAAGACAGAAAAAGAACAAAACTCTACTTAGTCTACACTAATACTACAAAGAAAGAGATTCTATTTCTTATCATTCAATTATATTGACAATAAAGGAAGACTGACGCGATATTTTAATGCAAATAACAAAAGATTCGATTACTTTCGTTTATTCAGTTCGTTTATTTTTTGTGAATTTGTTTTTGAGATTTTTAGATCAGGAGAAAATCACATTGAGTTACTACCCATTTCACTCAAGGCAGCACTCAATAAAACTTCTTCATATTGTGTACCATCCGTATGTCTTATAATACTAGTCGATGAACTCGATTTCTTGGTATTTCCTTCACAACAAATTTTACCTTTTTTCCAAAGAAACAATGTGATATTGAACACAATTGATATTATCAACACAGCAATAAGAACAATAATAATATATGTATCGATCGTATCATGACATTTCGTGTGAGTTGTTGGCAAAAGTGTAAATGTGGTTTCATTATCCGAGTATTTATCACTGATATAATTAATATGATTTTTTAATTCCAACAACGTCAATTCTCCATGTGCAAGAAATATTTGTGTTCGATTAGAGCCCATTGGAATGTCAAAAGCTGTGATGTTTTGAGTATCATTACAATTCCATGACATTTTGATCGTTTTTGTGTTTGATGAGGCCATGCTTATCCAGACAAAAGGCAGCAGAAAAGATGAGAATCTGAAACGAAAAAGAGACAAACAATTGAACGAACTTGGATAACTAATGAGAAAGAAACAAACAAAAAAACGAAAAAAAACAAAAATTAAAAACCACCGACTTTCAATCGAAAAGGGACAGCTATTAGAAAAGAAAAAGACTACGAACTACATTCGCATATAGTGTTCGTTGTGAAACTTCATTCGTGATTCGAGCAACTTATTTTCAATTGTTGATTTGTAGAGTCCTGTTTCGTTAATAGAGTATTGAGAGAAAAAACATGTTTTCCATATAAAGCAATTTTCAATTTTTTTGTTGATAATGATGAACATGTTTTCATATAATGAGACCATAGTTCATGAAATTTTAATTGAAATTGTGTATTTGAACCATAATCGTAGAAATAATCCAAACGTAGAACAGATTCGTTTGATTCTAGCTCTAATTCAGGGTCGAATGATGCACGTTGACTAGTCAAAAAAACCAAAAGATCAGTACGTAACTTCTCGTACATTGTTTGATTCATATTAAATCGATGCTCATGGATATGAAAGTAATCATAGAAATGTTTCATTTCAAATTCAATTAAATCGATCGAATGACCCAATCTTAAGTAGGCCATTTCTAGATAGATACGTTCTTGTACAAAATCTTCATAACTACTACATACGGATACTATTCGTACTAATGCTGATCGAAAATAAAGTTGAGACTGGTCGATAGATTGTGCATTTACATACGGTAGGTTTAATTTGGAAGTATGATCAATGGAATCATACATACGTGTATGTAATTGTCCCGATTGATTTTCGATGGAAGCATTTAAATATTGGATGTGAAAGCCGAATGTTATATCCATTTGAACATCTCGATGTGTTTCTTCAATCAATTTAAGAAAACGAGCAAGCTCCTGGTCGGTATAATTCCACGTAAAGAATATTTCATCTTTATATCGAACAAAGAATTCTCTCTTCAATCGATAATCATTTAGAATCGTCTGTTGCCATGGATATGAAGCTATCATCATTAATAATTCACTTAAATGTAAACTTTCTGGCATACCATGCACTAAACGAAAAATATTTTTTTCAAAGAAAAACCAATTTGAATTGAAATATAAGTCTAATAATTGTCTGATTGTTCCAATCGATATTTGTTCACATGGATACTTGTTTAACACAACGGTAATTTGTTTCATGATGGTTTCATAGGAATACATTGTCGAATAATTTTTAATTTTAATTCGTACAAATTGGGTTGATGAAGAAAATTGATGGTGATGTTCTAACTTATAATATTGATTAAGTCTTGCAAAAAAATCACAATCATTTGAAACTAGAATTGATTTAAGAAGATAGAACAATGTTGGTTGAAGGACTCGATGAAGAAAATTTGCTATATTCCAAGTGAGACTCTTCGCCATTGAAAACATCGGTTTGACAAATAGGTAAAAATCATTTTCCATTGATATATCTGGTAAAAAATACATATATCCTAATTTTATATCTTCTCCATGAATCAATAATTTTTGATAGAATTCCTTAGAAATATGTTTTTGTTTAAATAAAGTTTCTATAATTCTATTCATTGTCACAATTTTATCATTGATTTTCAAATAAATATCCATATAATTATCACTTGTTACAGAATATAATAACTCGAATTGATCTTTATATTGAATCATAAATTCATGACATTTCTCTTGAAATACGGTTTGTTTCGTTAGATAAATTTGATTCGAATGATTTGCTGTTCGTCGTAGAATAAAATGATTCTTCTTCAATGATTCCTGAATGGCTTGTACGAGTTGTTGCTCATATATGGAACGTTGTCTTAAAGATGTTGGTATAAATACATTAAACATAGTTCCAAATTGAACTTTAAGTTTACGTAGCAATGCTGTTGTTTGTGGTAAATCGTAGAAAGATGATTTTATTCGATTGATTATTTGAGTTTCTAATTTCGTAAATTGTTCTGATGCGAGCCGATTATTTGATTTATTGTTTGATGATGATGAAACTTGTAATTGACAAGGAATGATATAGGAAGGGCCACGATTTAATAATGCTAATTCTTCTTTCGTAAAAGGATTCTTGATGTTTGAATTAATTATTAAATTACTGGAAAAACCAATAAGTTCATCGTCTTTCCTGTGTCTATGTGGAATCGTTTCTAATACCGTTGAAGAATGTCGAAGATAATAATTGATATAAAACATAGCTTTTAATTTTTGCTTTTGTTCGATCAATCGTAGATTTTGTTCAATTAAATACATCATATTGACAGAGTTGAATAACTTTCTTTTCTCATTCTTAAATTGCTCAGATACGATTATCATTTGTTCACACAAATTGGATTGATATTGATCAATATTGATTTCCATGGCAAGAAAACGGATACTCATAAGATCTGTTTTTGTACGTTCTATTAGATTCTTATAACGATTGCGAAATTGTTGATGGCATTCTCCTTGCGAAGTGGAATTCATCAATGTTGGAAATTGAATATTCAATTGGTCAAATGATGTGGGCGGTTGATTGTAAGCAACCTGCATGCGATGAATGAGTAGGTCACTTTTTATTGCTTCTAATTTCAATCGGATATCATACAATTTTCTGATGATTTTTTTCTACAAAATAAAATCGAATGAAAATATTAAACAAAAAACGCTTAAAGAAAGAAAGAAAGCAAAGAATTACTTCGTAATCATTAAGTTTCACTTGTCGATATAGATGCTGGATTTGGTGTTGTTGATAATTCATGTGAAGTCGAGCGATTGCATAATCACATTTCATGCGTATGGCCGATATACCATATTGTTCCACAAAAAGTTCAATGGCTTCTTTAATTGTAGGTGACAAATCAATTCGATAACGTACTTTGTCATCGAATCGTTGCCCATAAGACCTAAGTTTCTTTTCATATTCTTGTAGTCGTTCACGTACGACAAGTTCACAAGCGGTGTGTTCGTCATCATGAATATTGCTTGGATCGATTGCTAAGTCAGTGTCATGGATTCGAATTAATGCTCGCACATGTTTTGGCCAGTAACGTTGATTTCCTCTAGTGGTTGAAAGTTGTCGATGAATTTTGTTGGAATTGATGTTTTCATACTTTAATTGACCTAAACCAGATTGTAAATAAAGTGACCATAGATGATAGAGTTGCTGATAGAATTGTCTTTGATGTAAACAGAATGCCATCTCACGCAGAATATCAATGTTGAAAGAATTCGTGAAATCTGTTAATTTGCCAATCATTTGATCAAATAATTGATTCTCTTCTAATAAAAACGATGGCATTCTCTCATAGTCTGGTTTATCATCAGGATGAAAATGATGAAATAATCTCTTTGTCAAACACGGTGTGATGATGTGGGATTTGTTCGAGTTTGTATTGCGCTCAAATCCTGAGCGTTTCTCGAACTGGTCACGACGAGTCGGTAGTGAAAGTTGACTAAACCGTTTTGTACTGCTTGATTGTTCGATTTTCTTCTTGTTCTTCTGAAGAGAAAGAAAAAAACAAAAAGGTTTAGAAAACATGTATTGTTTAAGTGCAACATCGTTACCTGAAGAGAACTATCATAAGTCTCATGATGATTATTTGTCAACATAGGATAATTGTTTTTCCATAGGTCATAAAATTTGTACTCTTCCTCTTCGTCTGCTTCCAATTGACTCAAAGAGGGAATAAAGTTAAACGAAGGAATAAAATTCTTCATCCATTTTAAGCCAAAGTGATGATCGTTTTTTGTTGTTATACCGTGAACACTCGAAAGCTTCTCGTCGTCGTCGCCATCCAATAGTTGAAAATGATCTCGGAAGATCTCCATTATTGTTGTACTCTGAAAAATAGCAAGACAATGAAAATATGTCATAAGAGTGAAGAAAATTTTGCTTCTTGCACTTTTTCCAAAACACATCATCATCCTAAAGATGGAAAGGGAATGGTGAGGAAAAGGCTATCTCACTTTATGGATACGAATAATCCAGAAATGCAAATCTCTTTTCTTTGTTACGCATCTTCAATTAAATACAATCGTAGGGATCCGCCACTACGGCTCTTTGGGATTTAGCAGAAGATTGCAGAAATGAATGTTGTGTACTGGATAGTGTTCTTAAGAAAATGGGATCCGTATGAAATTTTATAGAATGATCATTCACATAGTCAAGTGAAATTGGACCAGTATTTCATGTGCCGAGTCAGTTGGAATAAGATTCTTATGCGGAAGTTGAGTCTATTTTCACTTCAGTAAAAATCAACTGCTTGTACGTTGGTAGACACCATCAGTGCATTCAATGACACATTTTCTTGTCATAGGAGTCGGCGATAATCTGTGAATAGATATCTGAAACAGAAAAAAAAAACAATGAAGTGTTATGAAAAGTTGTACGAACGATACTAGGTTTTTTTTTATGTTTTCTCGAATGTATTTGGAAGACGAACATCACTTAGAGACCAAAGACAAACAAAAAGGAAACAATAGCACGGAAAGGACTCATATCATAGGAATGGAATTGTTCTATAGTCCTCCATGTGGTAAGTTATACTCGCTTCAGAGTATATTGATAAGCGAAATCAGCTTTCATTGTAATATTATGGAAACGTTGTTCAATTAGGTTCAACAGCATAGGAGAAAATTGCTCGTTTTCTAAACGAGAATGCTGATCTTGCCAAAATTCAATGATTTTTTCATCGAGTAGTTTTTGTGTTTCATGCATGTGTATTTGAGCCCTATTAACAAATAAGATCATCAGTTGTTTTTTGTATTCATTGAGAATAGCTTCATGTTGTTCGATCAATTGATGACGTTTAGTATGATTTTGTATAGTATGAATATAAGATGGCGATACAATTTGAATTGAATCAATCTCTTCAGGTAATTTATTTTCTTGGAAAAGTTGTTCAAGCCGTTTTGCTTCAGTTTTAGACTTTTCGTATACTGTTGTTCGATGGCAAAGTTGAGCAATCCATTGTTTCTAAACATACAAGAAAAAAGATGTTCCATTCACGGAGCAATATGAAACAAACATGAAAAGAAACAGAAAAAAACACTTACATCATTGTTCGTCAGTAATGGATATCGCTGTTGAATTTCTTCAATCAAACGTTGATCCTCATAATCATAAAGCATCATCGCCCATATATATGCATAATCCATTTCTAGTGCATGTAAATGCTGCTCAATCAAAGTTTGTAGGGAAGGTTCTATGAGTGTACGATAATGATCAATTGATTTTGTAGAATCGTTAAGTTTTTCTTCATAATCCATATAGTACTTGTCTAATTGCTCGAGATGAGAATGTGTGACATTGAAACAAATAGCATCTATCATAGGGTCCGGAATTGTCTCTTGTGATGCAGCAGATCGAATAATTTTTTTTTATAAATCGGGCCATATCTTTAGATTTCCTTGCACCGTCTGTAAAGTACCAGTGCCTGATTTTAAAAAAGCACACCAAAGCATTTTTTCTAAATTAATTCTTTTACATTGATACAGTAGTATAGCTATGTTGCATAATTGTTCCACATGAATTGAATGATTACTTCGGAATGTGGTCACTTCTTCAAGCACGTTTTTCAAACAGGCATTCGTCGATCGCAAACAGCTGGGAGTATCTTCTTTTTCCAAATTATCCTTGAGGCATTGTAGTACTGCTCGTGTAATACGTTTCGTGGCTGGATGTTGTCGTTCCGTGGAAACGCTTTTAAACGTAGACATTTCACTGAGAGACGTTGATGATACGGATAGATTCATTGTTTCTAGTGAAAAAAAAAATCAAGGAGAATAACTGCAAAAATGCATTTTGTCGGTAGTAAAGAAACGGTGGTTTACTTTGAGTTTTATTGTTATTTTTTGTTTTTTTTTTTTTGTTCAGGAGATGGAATTATTTGTTGTGATAAGTTTTGTTTATAAATGGTATATCGTTTTATCTAAAATATGAATGTTGTTCATTTTGAAAGTAGCACAGAGAAATCTTTTTCATATGTCAAACGAATGCATGATCACTCTAACTATGGGAATGAAAAAAAAAAAAAACAAAAAGAAAAGAGAAACAAACTCTATTGAAATAAAAAAAAAATGGATAAAAATCGCTCTTCTGTTGGTTTTCACTAAAATCAAGAACATACATAAAAAATTAACTCCTAAACAATTAAAATCTAGAATTCGTCTGAGTTTTTCGAAAGTTTTTTGTTATTACGAATAGGTAATTTGGCTTCGTTCATTTTGATCGGAATAGGAAGCGAAAAAGTTTGTTGATCTTTGTGTGATTGGATTTCTTTTTGCTCTTGGATCCTAAATGATCAATGTAAATAATTAGAACAGTAATATCAATGTAGGTGTATTTTTCATCGAATTAACATACCATTATGTTGTTGTTGAATACAAGAAGAATCTTTTTTCGGTGAGTTGTTCTCGAAAGAACGAGAGTCAGTATCCAGTGGTTGACTCTATGAAAGAAAAAAAAATTAATAAAGGCCGTGAATGGTGTGATTGAAATGAAGGCCCTCGATAATCAATATCGAGGACGTCGAACTTTACTTCATTTAAATAGCTTTCCTGATGTCGTATCGCATACATATGCTCGATATATTTGCATAACATATGGAATCTCGCGGATCCAATACGTTGTTCATACTGTTGTTTATCATGAATACACTCGTTCATACTAAACGATACCCGATTTTCTCGGTGAGGTTCATTGTCCGATTCGATTGCCTTAGAATTTTTTCGAAATACAACCTGAGTTTCTTCTTCTATCACATGATATATTCCTTCATCATAATCGTCCAAATGATCGGCAGAGTGGAAAAGATGGTCAGAGGTCGCACTCCCATAAATATTCTGTTCTGTTGGTACTAATAATGCCAATTGTGTGTCCTGATCGTCTGTATTTACTTGTAGTCGTTCATAGTTTGTTTCTTCCAAATCAGGTTTATTTGTTTTTGATGAATCTGATAAATAAATATTAGGTAATGACATCACTGATAAAAAAGAGTTGTAAGTTTCCCATATTGTCGAAACACGTCCTATGGCATGCGGATAGAAGCGAATACGGCTGCTCATCATTTGTTGTAGGTTGTTATTCAATAGAAAAAGATCAAGTTCGAATTAGAATAAACGTAATCTGAAAAAAAAAGCATATATCAATACAGTCTCGCCGTAGGGCACGGGCGCTGGAAATGAGTCAAACAAGAAAAACAAAAACACAGTTCTTTAATGAAGAAAAGAAGAATTATTTTGTGACACCATTTGTGATCAATAATGTTAGAGAAACAACAACAAGGAACCGCCGCTAATTGTAAGTAAAGGTATCATCGGACTATTGTGATAGCGCATGTATTAAAGTACTCTTTTCCCTAACAAAAGAGTATGATGATTCTAAAAACAACCAGGACAGAATGAAAATTTCAGCAGCTACGTGGTTCGCTGCTAGTTTGATCTTGAACTGTGTTAATGAAGTGATATTTCAAGAAAATCATCCACATTTGATATTGAAAAGTATACCTAGAATTAAAAATTACAGGATGAAATACTAGAGTAAAATTCATGTATACATACGTTATTGCTTTTTTCTTGTCGATTATCAATGATAATCACGATCGTGTTATCTGATCGAGGTGGAGGTTGAATTGTGTTTTTTTGTTGTTCCTTGAGGCCACTAGTAAACGGTCGGCGATCTATCATACAGGAGATTTCCATTGGTCACTATTCGAAATAAATATCACCGGAAATTTTGTCTGTGAATAGTGTAAAGAACTTTAAAAAATGGTGTTAATGATTTCGTTTGCAAATGCTATCATAAATCAATGGAACGTCTCTGCGATACTGGAATGTTGATTGAAATAATCATTGACTGTATTTGGTACCATAGACGATCTGTTTGACTTTTGTTTAGTGACTTATGCCAGTTTTTCCTTGGTGCTTCGCATAATTTGCAATGATATAATAGTCGCTGTTTGTATGAAATCTTGCTGAAATCGTTGTGATGTGTAAAGTACTCTTTCGATCATGGTCAAAACTTCCATAAGAAATGAACAATTCTAAGATAACCAGTATAGCAACATACGTCCGCTGATTATATCTAAAATATGAGAAGAGACAATTGTTTGTATGATAATTAATCTAAACGAAATCAAGAAAATCGAAAAAGTTGCACTTATAAGAAACACTCTACGGAATAGGTAGATGTGACATGTTCGCCTTTCTTTCTATTCTTTTTGTTACATGAAAATTAAATATTTGAAAAAATTTTAAAGTTTATTTCATGGGCATGGAGTTGGGCAAAAATAGATCGGTTGATCATACGTCGTCGTCGAATAATCGCTCTGAACCATTTCAGTTGATGGTGCATTCATGGTTTTCTGCAAATGAATAGTTAATGGTGACATTTGAAGAATAAATACAAAAATAATGAAACTATGATTTCTTTACTTGATTTATATCAGGAGACATATTCATATCCTCGAGTATGAGTGCAGTATGATATACACTGTCTCTCGTTACGTTCTTGTATTTCTCGATGGTTCCTTTGTGTTCTTCTTCTTCTTCTTCTTCTTCTTCTTCTTCTTTTTCATTTTTATAATGTTTCTCATATAATAGTGGTTGTTTGTTATCATTGGTGTCCGGATCTTCGTAGTCCCGAATCGAGTTATCACATCGAATAACTGCCGGATTGATTGTTAGAATTGAGTCTTCTAAGGAAAAATAAATAGAAAAACAAGTAGATTGAAGTGATCTTCGAGAAACTGTAGACACAAAAATTCACAAACCATTACCCTTTGTTTTCGCATCATTGTCAGCTGATTCTGTATCATAGTTTGAATTGTTTGTTCGTGACCGTTGTCGTCGTTTCTTGCAATTACAGCAAATAATGGAAAAGCATATAATCATGAAAATGAGCAACAAAGAAAAAATGATAAATATCATCGTTAGAATGCAATAAAAAATGCAAGAATATTCGTCGAAATCCAATTTTATTGATCGTTTGAAGAAGTCTATCACACTCGCTGAAAGATTATTCATTTTCATATTGGAATAATTCATAGTTTGATATGTTACGAATAGATGTTTTGATGGAATAGAGAGTAACACAGTAAGTGAGTAGTCGTTTGAGAGTAGGAAATGATTTGTGATGGTCTTTCGCAGATGAATTCGGTCGATCTTCAATTCAATATCCACAGGCGTCTCGTGTTATTGAGATGCTAAGTAAGAAAATTAAATATCTAGAAAAAAAAAATGTGAAAAATGAAATACTGATTAGTAACTATAGCATGAATTCGATCGAAGAAATACAATGCCAAAAAAATTTGAATTAAATGAGAGCAAAAAGACGAGCTTGTTATCACGATCCAAAGTAGTTCTACAAAAATTGACATGAGAAAGAAAGCGAAAATTTCAATGTATAGAAGAATTGCACCATCGTAGACTGTAAGCAACTACGAGGGAAAAGAAAGAAACAAACCATAAAAAAAAGAAGAAAAACGAATGTGGCAAGGAGCGTGCCATTGTTCATCTCCTAACTATGAGTTGTGGAAGAAGCTGTTGTTTTGCATTGTTGTGGCGCTGGTCGGTATGCCGTAAGACCAAGTAAGCTTGTAAGGGTACTTTTTGAGAAACAACCAGCGAATTTCCATTGTAAATAATAGTAGCAAAACGCAAGCACGCCGACGATAATGAGTATAATCAGAGCATAGACAAATCTAAAATTATCCGAAAAGCATTGCTTATTTGTGGATGCAAAGTTAACACTACTCTGTTAGTATTTACAGTTTGAAAGGAATGGATGGAGGCATTTTTTTTTGTACTGTGTAAGAGAATGTTACAGGGAAAGAAAAAGCCGACTTACAAGGTTCGAATCCAGGAGAAAATCCATTTGAAAGGTTTGAATATAGCATTGGTCACGATGTCGAAGGCGCTCATTTGTTCTTCTTTCGCGAATCGAAAAAAATTTGCGATTGATTTCGTGAAATCGGAGGTACTATAGTAAAAAAAAAAGGCAAGTCATAAAAAGTTATTAAGTAAATTCATGTCCCGATGGCAATTATACGGTTTACGCACCTGGAAGAGTCACGACGTAAGCGCTCATGTTCATAGTGTGGTTCACTTTCGTTGAGCAAATTATTGTGACCGGATTTCATTTCACCATTAACGCTATCTATTGGAATACAAAAAATAGCACGAGTCCATACCATCAGTATGATAAAATAAAAATAAGTTTGGAAGAATTGCATATCGAAGGTTTTGTCGTATCGATGAAAATCACAGAAACAGAAGACGACTATCTAAAATAATCAAAAACAGTAAGATATTATGGACGACTTGGAACTATCGTTTAGCTCCATACATGCAAATTTGAAAAATCATCAGAGAACTGTAGAAGAAGATACGCAAAGAGAAGGCGAAAATGAAAACAAAATGACATACGGCTACATTAGCAAAGAGGTCTACGGAGAAACTTCCATATAGTATAGTATGGTCCTGAAAGTCTATTGTCTTTTCTTGCTAAAATATGGTTTCATTCCATTATCCCCCAAATACACGATGACAAGTCGTTGTTATGCCAGCTGTTTCAATGACAAGTTCCACCATGTTGAGTTTTGTTCAGAAAGATTGCAACCGTGCATCTGGAAATTCATTTGTCTTGTATAACTGGCATGATTTGGACGAAGGTGTGTTGAGTACGATGAGGCTGATCATCGTGTTCATTTGTATATGATAAGGATGTAGAAATTTGGTTTGAAGTTACGGGTGAGTTTTTCTTAACTAATTTGCTTTGCATGGTTTGCTTTTTGTCTTTTTTCATTTTATGATGCATACGTTGACTAGCAAGTTCTTCTAAGTGTTCTAAATCATAGTGAAAATGTGTTTGCAGATGATATTCAGAGGAATTAGTTCATATGACATACTCTTGTATTGATCGAATGATATCAATTGATATGGACATAAATGTGAAGGCATCTCCAACATAAAATAACATTGAGTGTATTTTACCAAAATTGTGGGCTGTTGAAATCTATCTACAATAGAAATATTTATCTTTTCATTCTTATCCTATCAAATAAGTTGAGCAAAATGTCACATGTGAGACACAGAGTGTGGTATCTATTTGTGCAAGTAAGTCTTTAAAATGGAAGAAAAAAAAACGAAGACTACGCTGGGTAACAATTCTAAAATTAGAGATGAAATAAAGACATGTTGAAAGTTGAAGGAATGAAAAGAAAGAAGCTTTGAAAGTAAATTAAACACAAATAACATGAGCTGTTCTATTGAGATAGAAAAAGTGAAATGAAGCACATGAAAACTCTCTAACAATATTCATACGTGTATCAAATCGGAAAAGAAGCTAATTTTCCTGTATGATTATTATGGATCTGTACTCTACTGCTTTCAAAAAAAAACAACCTAGTACGAATAGCATCTGTTTGCATTAAAGACACATTCTTCTTCTATTAGATGCACTACTCAACTTCAGGGATAGCAGACGTGGAAGAATGAATCTGAAATAGCAAAGCTCATGGAAATTCTACAATTCTACGTATATATATCAATGTGATTCAGCGAAAGTGGCATAATTCAATTTGATTGAGTATAGATGATGAGTAAAGCTGGAAGAAAATGTTGTGTGGAAAATGTACTAATGAGTAGACAATTCTCAATCAATTCAATGTGAGGGATAAGTCAAAAGAAATAGATCAACACTATTGTGGAAATAATTAGTCAATTCTTTGAAGCTTCATTGCTCCGACGAATAAGATTGTGACACCATTCAACATTATTCATCGAAGAAGTTTCTTGTAAGTCGTTTGAGAATATGAACTCATCCATATGACCAATACTGTTAAGTTTTGTTTCAGCATGTGTAATAAATAAAGCTTCAATGAATCGTCGTAAGCGATCAGACGTATTTTGTGGCACTTTCATATAGAAGAAGAGAAAAAAAACAGCGTTTCCTATAATATTTATCGTTTCGAAGATCATACTTACATACAGCAATAATAGCAGCATGATATAAGTCAAGACGATCATTTGGGGAATTTAAATATTTTTTTTCATGAAAAAAACGGTCAATAGCTAGTTTTTGTTCATAAGTAAATATATAATTGGGTGGTGGTGGAGGCACATCATTAGCATAAGTAAATAGAGCGGTATCCTCTATTTCTTCTTTTGTTTGTACTTGCATTGGAGTGAGTTTTGTTGGAATAAAAGGCCAATAATCAGGATTTTCATCAAGAAACCATTGAATAGCCATTGGACATTGTGTTGAATGTTGATACAATTTCATTCTATCTTTCACGAGCGTTCTTAAAGCAAAGAAAATAATGTTGACAATGTGTATGAAAAAGAAAAAAAAGAGTGCTTACTCGAAAGATTTCAATTCGCTTCTTATACGTGAAATATTTTTCTGACCAAGAAGAAATTCTTGCACTATACGATTGCCGTGCTGTTGATGATCTTTAGAAAAGAAATGCAAAAGTAAAGGAAAGTAAGAAATTAAAAACAATATCCTTCGACATTCTTAGTCCAAGTTATTTACATATCAAGCGATTAGCTAGAGATAAAGATGTTTCACCAATGTAATCCACTTTTTGACATGGACACGTTAGAACATAAATAATATTTCGAGTGGTACATGATGCTGAACAGTTCAGAATTGATTGATATCCATTAATAAAATAATGTTCTTGATTGGAAGCAAATTGATGAAAAGGTTGCTGATGACGATACATTAACGAGTAGGAAGGATAACATAAACAACATGATAATTTTTGACATGCCGCCATGGCATATTGTGGTTGTGGTTCGGTGTCCTCACAAAAAAGACCTCTCACATTATTTCTCATAGGATCTATTCCTTCATATGAACAAGTCTTCATATAGAAGAGTTTTGTGTCAAATTGGAGAAAAAATTCTAGTGCTATTCGAAACTCCTCATCGTATAGATACTCGTCATCTCGATCTGTATGAAAGTGTTGCATGCGACCTACTGCCATTCGCTCAACTAATATTTTTAAACGTTGAAAATTAAATTCTAAAATATCTGTAGAGACATTCCATAAGCGACTCAAAAAAAAGATTAATCGTTCATGTTCATTTGTGGGCTTGGTTGCTGATGGTTGATGATAGCCATAAGTCATTCGACGTTCTAATTCTTCTTCATTGAGACGATCTTCTAATATGGAAAGCAAAGAATAATTATAAAGAAAAGAAGAGAAAAGATGAAATACAAAATTGTTATTCATTTTCACGTTGTTATGTTTCGTTTTCTTACTTGGTACATTCGTTAATAGATAGTGTCGTGCATCAATATCTGATGACAATGTTGGATAACAGGGTAAAATGGAATATCTTGCATGAATCGATGAGCTTGACGATACTGAAGTGATTGCATGTGACTCGAAAACTAGAACGATGTGAAAGAGACATACACACATAGTTATATATAAAAAAGATTGAATCACAAAGAAATCACTGTAACTTACCGAATAACTTTGAGCAATATGGATCGGACATACCTCAAAAACTGTTATCGTATTCCAGAACAAATCGTGGTATAAATAGTATCTGAAAGAAAAAGAAAAATGTTAGGAGAGACTTCTCTCATAAATGCATTGAACCAAAAATACAAGAAAATCAAAAACAAACTACACAAAAACATTGATTTCAATGCATATGATCTACTCTATTCCGCTACAAAATTGATTTCTTATAAATGTTGTAAGTGAAAAAATCTATGGATTAGTATATGAATTCCCTATTGGAATAGTTCATTTTCTTTTGTTTGTCGGGAGTGGTTGAATACTTGCACTTTTGGTAAAAAAATCCGGTTTCATGTTATACACACATTTAACACAGTCAATGATAGTTTGTTGCCGACGATCAAGTAACAATAATAAGTAAGCACGCAACGGTTGAGCATTTGAACCAGGATGACGTTGATTTTCCCACAATTGAGCCATTGCCGTGTCAAATTTTTCAGTCCATTCTTCTTGCCGTATCTCAGCAGCTGATCTTAAAATATCCATTAAATCATACTTTGCTTTTCGAACTATTTCTAGGTAATTTTTCGTTAAGCGTTCACGTTGGATTGCATTTGTGATACTGGTGATTGATGTTGGCAATATATCTTCAAGCGTTGAAAATGAATCAGGTAATTTTCTATAGAGCACACCGAATTTGAACAAAACAAGTATCTGATATGATTGTTCCTTTTCTGTGGCTAAATCACAGAGATAGTTGGCCAGTTGACACTAAAATGTGAAATAGAAGGAAGCAAATGTTACAAATTCAATGAAACACCTTTGGTGGCATTACTTTGCCATACAGTTGCAGCTAACCGTTAGTCAAATCCTATGAACTAAAGATAGCTTGTCACGAACTGTCATGCATTCATAATCGATTGTGTGGTGATCTGTCATGGGCCCAGCAGCCGGAATGTCACAGCCAGTGAAGGCTGAAGAAGTCGGTCGATTCTGGTCGGAGTCAGTTTGGAACACTGGACACTCATCGATTGAAACAATTCCAGAAGCTCAACTGTTACGCTCTATGTTTTGCCTAGAAGGTGCACTGTCGCAGTCGGTGATGATTCCGAAAGCTGGATCAACACACTGTGTGATGGACCTAGGAGCTCGTCTATCACGTTCTTGTGAAGGATATAGAAGTCAGACTCTCACTGTCTGTGAGTTGCCTAGCAGTCGCACTGTTCCTCTTTTTTTTTTTATGGTCAAGAATTCTGTCTCTCATGGTCTATGTTTTTTCTGTTCACCTTTTCTGTTGCGATCTATGTGAGTAGAAATGGGTTTTGTGTGCTAGTTCATACGCCGAAGCCTTTGAAAATACGTCTCATATATCATCTTTCATAAAACGAAACAGATACAAGAATTTTCTACTATGTGAATTCTTACATACTTGATTTTCATTTGCTCTTGCTTGATAATATTCATTTTGAAATAATTGATCAATATATGTATATTCAGTAACAATAATTCTTTGTTCAAAATGAATGTTAATGGAGGTGAAATGATCGCTTCTTTGAATAAATTTATCAATTTTATTTAACACTTCATCGAAGTCAATAACATTTATATGATCTTTAATGGAATTTATTCCAGTTTTGCACTCGTTTGCTTGTACATCTAAAATAAATTGATTCCTTTGAAAAAAACTTTTGTAAATCTCTTCGGTTATTTGATCTTCATTTCTGATATCATTATACAACTGAGCCAGAAGCATAGTGGTTACTGCTGCAGGCCATATACAAACGGATGGCAAAACAGATGCTTGTTTTAAATATTTTTGTTGATTAAGTTGTCCAGTTCCACATAGTAAATACGTATACCAAAGTTTGCTTTGTAAGTTAATGATAGATAATCGATATATGAACAAAGCTAAACATTGGATGTCATGAAAATTAATGGCTTGATAGTAGCGTCCTGTTTCAGGAAGAAAACTTGCTTTAAATGTTGAGTCAGTCGATGATAAGAAACCTGGTATGTCGTTATCCATAGTGTTATTTTCTGAAATATTGAAATTTAAATCTAATACTAAGGCTTCCCATTCCAATTCATCCAGAACTGTCTTATAAGTATCATGGAACTTTGAGGCCATTCTGAGTGGCTATATACACAAAAAGGTTATTAAAATAAAGAATTTCTAGAATAAAAGATAACATACTAGACCGAGTGTGGGTTCGTTTGCCATTCTAATCAAATGGTATTTTAGAAGAAGAATTATGACCACAATGATAAACGAGCACAAGATGGTGACGATATGTTTGAAATAGATAAACGGAGAGATTAATTATAAATCGAATCTATCTAGAAAGTAAGAAGAAAAATTGTGTTATAAAAATAAAATATGTTTCGTTCAAATGACGAATAATAAAAAGAAATGATTCTATTTTTATATTTATTTAATTTGTCATGAATTATTTTTAATGATTCTAACATGATTCGACTAAATATAGAAATAGGAGAAGATAATCACATTAGACTTGTGTTTGAATGTAATCCCATGTTGATAAGTGGTGTCTCACATGTATTCATCTCTTTGAAAAGTGATACTCGACATTTTTTTCTTGTTGCTATTCTTGAAAAACAGTATGGACCAGAAGAGGTGCTTATCTACAAAAGAAAATGCTGTTGTCTATATAGATTTTATAGAAAACAAGAGTTCTTACCTGCTCTGAAGGCTGTTCTTGTCCTTGAGAAGATCTTAGTTCCCTCCTACGATAGAATGCTTGAATATACACCCATGTTTGATTGTTTTCTATGCATTCCATATTATGTACAGATGAATATTGTTCACTGTCCATCAAAATAATCTGAAAGGAAACGAAACGAAAGCGAAAACAAAAATTTGAAGACAAATGGAATACTATGCAACTCTTGTATTCTATCTATACTTTCTTCTTTTCATTACATTTAGCATAATTAGAGTGACTATAAAACTTAAAAGTTTTTTTTTTTTTTTTTTTTTTTTTTTTTTTTTTTTTTTTGAAAGTTACTATAATATTGTCAAGTGGCAAGTATTGGTAGAGATGAACTCAAAATTTCAAAAGAAAACTTTCAAATTCAATGCTTAGTATTTTTTTACTTTTGTTTTTGAAACTGAAGAGAAAAGAAGTAGAAGCTCGACTATTTAACATGTATAGGATTGGAATGTTGCTCGAAATGTGTGCTTTTCTTTTTAAAAATAACTTACCGTTCATGTTTCTTTTCCAACATCGTCAGTAATAGCTTCTTGTGTATATAAATAAGAGCACAGTTTGTATTTAGATGGTGGATTAAATCAGTATTTTGACTTCGAAACGTGACCTGTAGAGTAGAAGTTCTTGACTCTTGAGCTGTTGCCTGGTTGAATTCTATTGACCGTAAGTTGATTTGAAGTTGGATCGTTTTAATAATTGGGTCGTGGTATGAATACGATTGATGCAGCAGAAGAAAATTTAATTTGAATTGGATATAGATATATCTGAAATAGACGAAACTATTACATGTATATAAGTGAATGGTGATTGAAAGAAAACTTTCATCATAATGAAACAGAAAATGAACACTATTTCCATGTGAAATGTTTAATGAACAAGAACAATTAACGGATGTAATCTCGAAAAAGTATAAAAAAAAAACATACAGTTTCAGTGAGATGACTTATCGATAAATAGCATAATTTGTTCAGCTCGTTGTTTCATATTAAGTAGACGAGCTTCAATGATGTTTCGCATTGGACTTGAGAAGGATGAAAGAACAGTTGATGAAATAGTTCCATCCAGATGACCAGTATTACATTTGAAATCAATCGTGTTCATGTGTTCTTCAGTGTTGTTGTCGTGTAGCGTTACTTTGTTTGAAGCAGGTTTGGCCAAAGATAAATAATTTTTTTTTAGACCTATTGATCGTTTGTATGATTTACCAGTTCTTCGCCAAAGCTGTTGAACAGAGCAGCACTAGAACAAACAAACAAAGTAAAAATAATCTACTAAGTATTATTCAAAACCTGTTCTTCAGTTGGATTGCAATCATAGAATGATTTGACCAGATAGACTTCATTAAGATCGAAGTTCAGTATGAGTTTCTTGTGTTGAAAATATTCCACATATTTTTCTAAATCTTTCATTAATAGAATAGTAAGTGCTTCATCAATCATATTCATTGTTTGATCGAAAGATGTTGCATTTCCTTGTTCTTCACAATGAGGTCTTTGTTGTAAATGAATCTTAAGATTGGCCTCTACTTGTTTCAATTTATTATCGATAATTCGTTGTCGATGTCTGATGTTGTATTCTGTTCGAGGATAATCCCAGTTAATGAAGTTTCGATGCGTTATATTTTTAGATGTTTGAGATAACCATCGTACAGTAGGCATTGCTACATCAGCAACATAGTTCCAATAATCTTCTTCGATTTTCAATACAGAAAAATTACACACGAGTTGAACACGATGTCGAACAAAATGGAACATTGCTGTATTGGTTAACAGTTGGCGTATCATTGCACTTTGATTAGGAATACTGTTTGACAGTCGACGTACGAATATTTTTTTAAACATTTTAATATAATTTGGTAGAATCGTTAATAAACTTTTAAAGTTATCAATAGATAAACGACGCATGTTATTATGTGATGAATGTCGTTGTTTTGTTATCTTTTTTGTACGTTGTAAAAACGATATTTTATGTTTACCAGTTATCATTTCGCTTTCTTGAGTACTTGCAAGTTCGTCTGTGTACGTTAAAATCGATGCTAGATGATATGTAAAATAAATCACAGATATTTTTAACAAAATTTGAAATAGAATTTCTGTAAAGTAAACGATTTATATCTAATATAAATAGATGTTGGCTCTGAAGATAATTGTTCCAAAAAAAAAAAAAAAAGAAAACCTATTTAAACTGTCAAACATGACTTTCTACTATTGCTCTTATTCTTGCTACAACAAAACAAACAAATAGTATCGTAGTCGTTTAAACGTAAGTAGAAATCTAATTTGTTTATGCTCACAAGAAGTACTCTGCGTCTCATCACTTAAGTAAAGTAGGATTGTCTGTTACTACAATAGTTGTGTATATATCATTCCGTTATGCTATTGCATTCTTGCATTAATATATACTTTATGTGATTCTGAAAGTAAAACCGATTGACTATTACAAGTTCTAGAAACATAGGATTATGACACTTTCAGGTTAATCAATTTTAATAAAACAAGTACAGATTTATTGAATTGAGAGAAGCAGCACGACGCGTTTCATTCCCTTCTGAAAGCATTCATCAGCTATCTTTAGAATTCTCTTAATATATTAGACGAAAATCTCGGAATAAATAAAGAAGTTAATACAAATTCGTAAGAGTATTCCATGACCTGTTTCAATCTTAACTAATGACCACATCCTGATGGCGAATCTAGTTTAGATTCAAGAAGAATAAAGACATTCTAACATAAAATCAGTTGATTCTATCAGGATAGACTCAATGGTATATCTTTTGATGCTGAGTATAGGCATGGAAATTAAAAAGTCGAAAAATATAAACTGGATAAGAGATGAAAAAGACAGTACCTTAAAGTTCTTACCTTAATAAGCAGAATATTGTTGGGAACAATGATGAGACGATAATCAAAATGATTGCTTTTTGCTGGATATCATTGGCTATTTATACTGTTGAACAGGAAGGGGGAGAGAGAGAGGGAGAGAGTGATCCAGAGAAATGGAAAGAGAGAAAGAAAATAGGGAGAAACTCTCGCTGACCATTGGTGGAAAAAAGAATTCCCATGGAAAAAAGAATTCCAAGAGAGAGATTAAGAGAAGAAAAAAAAGATAGATAGAAAAGAGACTCAATGAACTGGAAAGCCTTTAATTCCTCAGACAAATTGGTCGATCGATCGATTTTGATATTATCTCTGTCGACAGAACTCTTGAACACGTCGTCTACCGATTGATGGATGGGTATTGACCAGACATGTCAAGATAAAATCGGATGAGTTGACCGAACCATCAGATGAAACAGATTGATTACATGTCATTTATGAACAAGTTGAAAGAAAAAGCAATCAAGCGTACCATACGCTATCTCGACAAAGGTAAATTATGATTGATGATGGTCTCTCATTTCGAGGGTATAAATAGCCATGCTTAGCTCATTTACAACAAGCAAAATAACGGCGATCAAATAAATTCGAAACAAAAACAATACCAATATCAATAACAACATGAATCCATTATGTTCTCAAGTGAAATTTATCATAACTGGTATGAAAAATGACACAAAATTCTATCATAATCATAATTTTGTTTTCTTCTTTTTTTTTTCAGATGATGATATCAACAGAAATGAAAAATGTTTAACATTTGTTCGGCCAAGACTTGTCGACTATTTGGACGATGGTCATGGTGATATTAGTCCTTTAGTTTTAATCGGTTTACGGGGTCTTCAACCCGTTTATCGGGTTACTCATACATGTGCTTTAGGTAAATCACTATTTCATTCTTCTCACTTTCATCTTGTCTGGTCATGCAATGTATCTTATTATAGATCGTGAAGGTGATAACATAGGCGATTTCGAGGTACATTGGCCTCCTCTCTTTCCAAATGTACGAGTATCCATATGTGAAGTTCTTCAACTCGATGTTACTATTCGTATTAAGGTATGTATTATTGTTGTTTGCGTTTTTATTTTGTGTTACCAATGAGTCATAGAAAAGTTTCGCAGTCAAGCTAAATATGATGCGTAGTAATATTTCTTGGAGAAAAGTATTGAAAGAAAGAAAGTAAAAAAAAAATTACACACTCGTTAAAACTATAAACTTCTTCTTGATCTCTTAGTAACCAGCTGCGACTCTCGTTCAATCGTACACATCTACACTCAGTCGTATTCTAATGTAGACTTTCAACTATTTCATACAAATTCTTCATATATTCCCGTCGCATTTACTATTTCATATTCATGGTATCTTTTCGTAGTCTACTAAACAGGTTTCAACACATGATTCTAAGAAATTCTCTATCCAAAGTAGGAGTGAAACGTTATCGTTGCGCCCAATGCTTACCCGCGAACGGTAACGCTAACGGTGGTGTGACTTCTCTTAGAGTCATCAATCCAGTAGTCTCGGCCCTTAAAAGCAACCATTGATGATATCTTTGTGTTGCAAAGTCCTACTATTGTAGACACCGTTGGGCCCTCAAATGCCACTATTTCAAACTAACGTCGCATCATCAAACGCTGTTAGGGCGGGGTACAGTCAGCCCAACCCATGCAACCGCTCTGCGGTTCATTTCGGCCAGCCAGTACAATTTGCGCTTCAATTGTTAGTGATACGGTATCTTTGTCCCAACCACAGCTACGCTTGCGTGGTACTCTTGCTTCAATCTCTATGAGTGTTGCGGGGTACCATGAGCCTAACCGATGCAATTATTGTGCGGCATCCTGGGGCTAACCACTACAGTGGTTTGCATCGAATGTTTAAGCCATACATTCCATTTGCCAGTAACGCGGGCGTCTTGGCGCAACCACAGCTACTGTTGCGTGGCACTCTTGGTGCAACCTCTACGAGTGTTACGCTGTGCGGTGGGTTCAAAGCTTGCCGTTATTGCGCGGTACTCTGTGCCGGAACAGTGCAAGATTTGTGCGGCATCGTGGGCCGAACGAGTTCAGTTATTGCACCGAATCGTTATTCCCTCTATTTCAATTGTCAGAAATGCGGATGCCATTGCTCCAACCTCTACGAGTGTGGCGCAGCACTGCGAGCCCGACCAATAGAATTATTGTGCGTTGCCATGAGCCCAATCAATGGAACTATGGCACAGTGCCGTAGTCCCAACCAGTGCAATTATTGCGCGGTATCTTGAGCCTAACCACTACAATTGTTCCATGGAACTGTTAAGCCCTCCGCTTCAATTGCCAGCTACGTGGGTATCTTTAGGCGAAGCACTGCTACTGTTGTGTGGTACTCTTGGCGCAACCTCTATGAGTGTTGCGCGGTATCGCTGGCCCAGTCCATGCAATTATGGTGCGGTATCGGGGCCCATCCAATGAAATTGTTGCGCAGTACCATGGGCTTAACCACTACAGTTTTTCACAGAATCGTTATGCACTCTGTTTCAATTGTGAGTAAATGGGGTTTCGTTTGTACAACCTCTACGAGTGTTGCGCTATACCGTAGGCCCAACCGATGCATTTACTGCGCGGTACTGTGGGCCCAAGCTTTACTGTTATACGATAGAAGCATTATGGACTGAAGTTAAATTGTCAATGTTGCGTGGAAACCTCAGCCCAACAATCACTGCTGTTGTCAGTAGCCTTGGTTCCTCAAGTCTTACTGTTCGGGGGCATCGTGAGGTTCTGAAATCAAATTATTGTGAGATACTCTTCTGTCCTCTAAGAGGAGCCTAGGATTCTCCATTACGCCAGCACATGATGGGCCAAGGGTAACCCGCGGCAGTGCGACTGCAGTACCTCTGGTTATCGGTTTGATGATGTAGGACACATACTTGTCCGTTATCTTGTTCCTGTGTAACAGGTACCTGGTCATTACCATCAGCCGGCGCGTGTCAGGAAAATGCCTCGGCTAAGCCGAACTCATTCAGAAGGTTATACTTAGTCGATCGTCGACACCTACAGATAAAGTACTCGCAGGATTGATACGAGACATCAAAGGCAAATCAATGACTACTATTCTAGATAATTGAGAGCATTCCGAGAGAAACTTGAAAGAATCTTTGTGTGATCGTCAAGAGATCATATGTACGTACGAAAGATATCTCCAGGACATTCTGTGGAATATTCTATGGAATTCTAGGAAACCAGCTGAAATTGAAGAGAGTTTTATTGTATGTGAAGAAATTCTGAGAAGACAGATATCCTGGTAGATTTCAGAATTCGAGAATTTTACTGTTTATCTATTTGAACCGGAGAGTCGTGTTAAATACTCATGTGAATCAACATCTCATTCGTACTTGATTGGAGTTTGGATGAGGTTGAGGACATATCTTTAAAAAGTGACGTTGATTATTTAAAGCGAGCGTTTTTTTTCCGTGATGTGTCAAGCCTGTGAGAAGTGTTGAACATCAACGTCAGTAGCGTCTGGATTGTATTGTGTGAAACTATGATGTAATAAGCAGACTCAAATGTTTTTGTGTGTCTAGTGTGCTTTTTTTCCTTTCGTTTTTGGAAATTAAAATTATTTTATTGACTTTTAGCCGTCGGATAAACCTACTCCACGTCTTGAAGGTGCTGATGATGATAATAATAATAGTATTGCTACTGATGATAATGATGATTATGCCAATCAAGCTGGTGATGATGATTATCATAGTGATGAATATACTGATTATGATCATGTTGACGATTTTAATAATGGTTCTGATTACAATGAATATGATTTCATTGATGATGATGATGTTGACGATGATAAGGATGGTCTTGGTGATGCTAGTCGAAATTAAATGGTGGAAATAACGTCAATTAAATAGTTGACTTGTGTTGTGTTTTTATAAATTTATCAAAAAAATAAATAAATCTTTGTGAAATATTCATTTAACATGTTAGCTATTTCATTAGAAATAATTTTAATAAATCTTCTAAATATTTATATATATATTTTTTTTTGTCTAAACAGGAGTCGAGCTTTAATTTATAAGTAGCGTGATATTTACAAATCTATTCAACTCTGTCGAAGAAATGCAATTAAACAGTGAACCAAAAAGACGCCATGCATAAGGAAGCATACAAGAGTTGAAGAGGAAAGGAGAGTCAACTAAAACAAAACAAAAAAAACCAAAAAAAGAAATCCATCTTGATTCATCATTCACTGTTACTCATTCTTCTGTACTGATAGAAACTAGACGATCTATATGATATGTCAAAATAAAGCTGGAAAAAAAAAGAACAATAGAAACTCCTTTCCCAGAAAGGGAAAGAAATGAACAACATAGATAAGCATCGAGTTACCCAAGAAAAAGAATCAATCAATGATGATCCGGGTGATCTTCAGTAAGATTCTGCTATATAGAGTCACGAGTTCTATCCAAGCCAGTTGTATTTCATCCTCTTAGAAAAATCATGGGTCATGAGGAACTGAAGAATGATCAGAACAATCCATATTCATGTAGATGAAAAGAAAAACAACAGGAAAATAGGGTGTGGGTGTGTTCTATATACGTAGGTGAAGTTAGCAGCCCATTATAGAAATTTCAGTGGCGATTCTCCTAGGTACTTGCTCCAACGTTGCTATTCTGGGTCCAATTACATGTCAATGAGATCTATCCACTGGTGTAATTAGATTTTCCATAGATCAAACCGAAAATGAAAAAAAAAATTTCAAAATATTAGTTTTATTCACATAATTCATACAGTAACTCCAGCAACCATTGGCATAGAACATTGGTCAGACGTTCCTATTCACGGTCCAAGCACAATTCGATGAGCTCTACCCCATTGATATGCTGCGATTTTCGATAGCACAAAGTATAATATTCAAATGCACATTAGGGCAGTTTATCATCCTCAAAATCATACACTGGTCTGTGGAATTGCTGAGAATATCATTGAAAAGAGTTTGTCAAGTTCTACTAGGACCAAGAATAGGAATACTGGACAAAGCTCTTTGGTTAATCGTTGCTACTTTTACTTCAATGGTCTTCAAGTGTGGTATAATGAGGCATG